CCGAAAGACGGTGCTTTTTGACAGTATAGTGTCCCCGTCACTATACTGGGGCGTTAGGACTAGAGCCCGACCGATAAGGGTTTTTTGGGACCGATACCGTTATTAGGGAGTAACTGAGAAGAGACTTCTTTTAAAACATTTGAAAGTATTACAGATCCTAATTTGAACACTGTGTGAATGTTATAATAAATGTATTAAAACATAATTATTATTATTGTCTTTTTATTTTATTTTACAGAACAACAGTAAAATTACAATACTAACATTTATGAATGTTGATAAGAGTTCTTGCTTTTTCTCAACTTTTATTTTGGAGGAAACGCGCAGGAAGACCTCAATGCTTATTTTTGTTGATAACAGATTTATAAATGAGTCTCATTACGAATACGTTGTACGTATCGCATTGTCACATGCCTTGTAAAAATTCATAAAAATGTGACTGAGCAACGGACGACTGTATCAGCGCAGATTTTCCTCGCGCTTTGGAACCCTGGTTAACAAGCAGACCTGCTGCGAGTTCGTGCAGCGCTGTCAGAATACATGCAATGCACGCGTGTATTAGAAAACATAACATTCTGCAGTTTATTTACCAACTGTTTAAGGCCATTTCGCGATTTCAATCATCATACAGTAACCAGCAACAATCACCCCTTCCTCTTCTCATTGAAGACATGCGATGCAGTCCTAAACAGTCTCTCGCTGTCGGTGCTTGTAATGATTTTTGCGTCTTTCTCCGACAGTTTAAATGCTTCCACACTGCTGACGTGTGTGCTGCATAATAAAGAGTGTGCGCCTCTCACTCTGCCCTGATTGCTATTTGATCACGTCATATCATTGTTCTGTACAAATTATTCGGTCTTTTCGCTTATTCGGTTCGGTTGCCAAACATTCGGTGCATCCCTAAATATAAATTCACGTCTCGCGCTCTTTAATGCCCTTTGAATGTAACGTGTAACGTGAAGTCCACTTCGCAGGGCACTTACGGTCGAATAAGACCACGCTTGAATGCCGTTGCCTGAACAAGTCCTTACTGAAGTGAAAGTGTTGACAGGTGTCACTATCTCACGAACGCGCCGGCGGATCTCCACCAAATTCGGGGGATCCCTTCAGCTCGAGGAAACCTCTCAAACGCGAATCGAGTGTACGTCTAGAGGCCCGCTTTCGAATGAGACAACCCCCGCGTCGATAGCCCCCGGGGTTGGGGTTTGGGAGTTACGGGTGGTTAACGCGTTCGAGAGGGTTCCTCGAGCTGAAGGGATCCCCCGAATTTGGTGCGGATTCGCCGCGCCGTTACGGAGATATGGGCGTTCAAAGTTTTCCATAGACTTAAGCTTTAAAGTGTTTCATCCAGGTCGCCAGTAGCAAACAATGGAGCGCGCTCTGCTGGACAAACTAAGTAATTACACCATTTCAAGCATTTTATCTGCGTTACGTTCTGTAAAAAAAATTTAATATCGGCGGCATATTCGCCGATACAGATATATCGGCGACAGGCTCATAGCGGCCGATAATATCGGCAAAACGATATATCGGTCGGGCTCTAGTTAGGACCCAAACAGACCACAGGGTGAGCACCCCCTGCTGGCCTCACTAACACCTCTTCCAACAGCAACCTAGCTTTCGCAGGAGGTCTCCCATCCAGGTACTGATCAGACTCAGCCCTGCTTAGCTTCAGTGGGCAACCAGTCTTGGGCTGCAGGGTGAAATGACTGTGGCAACTAAATCCCAATACACTTGAAACCTACGAGTTTTAAGAAAATATGCAACTTGTAGGTTATTTTAGTATCATTGGGATTATACTATTATAGTCTTTATTAATAGTTTCCATTAGTTTTTTTAAATGTAGCCTATATTTTCCATTTCCATTGTTGTTAATTTGTTGTTGGTTTTTTTTGTCTTTTTTTTTTTATATTCTTATATACACACTTATATACTTTTTTTTTTTTTTTTTTTTTTTTTTTTTGGGTCAGTTTTAATTTGTTATTACTGCATCAAACATTTCCCTGGCAACTAGCTGAAATAAAATAATTAAAAAATATATATTTCAAGTAAAAAAAACAAACATGTTTTTTAATGGTTTTGAATTTTCACTGTATTATGATGATACAGTATAACCTTTATGCGTTGTACGGCCTCTGTGATATGGTTGCATTATGTCACCAGTACAGCACAATGCTGACATCCTGTTGCTATAGCAGCACGATAGGAGTTGAAATTTCCATAACACATTTTTTCCCTGGTTGGGTCTAAACGGCTGCTCTGGTTTTAACTGCATGGCTGTGATGTTGCCACAGCTGCTTTGTGTTGCCACAGCTGCTATCACTGCATGTGTGTGTATTTGCTTATTTGTGGCCTGTTTGTTTAGGCACATCAGTCTTAGAAGAAGTAGAGGTCATTTTGTGTGAATGTGTGAGCATTTATTAAACAGCCTCTTACCTAAATTGACTTAAGCCAAGTCAATAAGTATATTCACCTGCACAATTATAATCAAGCTACAGCAGGCTTTTGCATAGTCGATCTACAGTCTTAATCTTTTTGTCAGAGTATACCTGATGCGTAATTGAAATTTAAGTAAGACCAGTGTTTACATGATATTTAAAATAAATGAATAGTGTCTTAAGTCCAATTGAAATCTAATTTTAAGAGCATTTACTATTGTTCAAAAATTTAGGGTAGGCAAGATTTTTAAAAATGTTTTTGAAAGAAGTCTCTTGGCTGCATATATTTAATAAAAAATGCTTTAAAAACAATAATATTGTGAAATATTATTACAATTTAAATTTAATGTTTTCTATGTGAATGTATTGTAAAATGTAATTTATTCCTGTGATCAACACTGAATTTTCAGCATCATTACTCAGTCTTCAGTGTCACATGATCCTTCAGAAATCAGTATAATATGCTGACTAGCACGGATCAGCTCCAGGCATGACGAAGCGATATCGTCTTCTTTTGGAAGGCCAAACGAAGTAGTTTCACTTTCACAACAAAGCACACAGTGCCTTCACGACATGGCGGCAACAACAATACTACAGCGAGAATAAAAGTTACGCCTTCTTTCTTTGCGTGAACATTTGGGGGGCGTTATGCAAATCTTCTCACATAGTGACGTAGGTATGTGGGGGCGTGTTAGAACGAGCCGTTTTAGGTAGGCGTGGTTGACTCTTAACTTTTATAAAGAATATCTCTTTGGATCTGAGACTTTAGTCTTTGCAACTTTACAGATCTTCTTTATGCACCAAGAGCTTGTAACACTCCAAAGAGAAAGGAACAATTGAAATCGCATCATATGACCCCTTTAAATAAAAAAATTAAAACAATAGCATTTATTTTAAATCTTTTGTAACATTTTTCCTTACTGTCATCTTTGATTAATTTATTGCAACATTGCCTTTTTTTTTTTTTTTTTTTTTACTGGCCCCAACATTTTGAACGGTAGTGTAAAAGTACTTCTTGAATGTGCTGCAAAAGGGATAAATAATTAATTGTAAAGGAGGCTCCAGAGTGTTTTGACTTGTAACCTGATTATAATTGCAGTTATTGGTCAGGGAGGGATTCAGCATTTCTCTTGTTAAATCTCTTTTTGCTCGGACTCTGAGCCAAGTATATTTGGGACGTCATCTGAAGTCAGCACAAGCCAAAGGCACAGTATTGTGTTGTGATCAGTGCTTTTGGAGGCCTGACACTGGTGACACTGTCACTTTGAATGGAGTCTTTTATCAGGCCAGTGGAGAGCATGCTACGCACTCATCTCTGCACAGATCTGTACCCAGCTGTGCCCTGTGTTTCAATGATAACACAACCTTTTGAGCTGCCCGTTTTCTCTTGACCTTTCTGGTAATCATTACACTTTATTTTCTCAGTAGGCACTATTATACCTGTCACTTTGGAGGGTGTGTATATTTGTGTGCATGACAAAGAGCTCTCCCCAGACACTTAGAGAAATTAGGTACTTTTTGCTAGGTACTTTTTAAACGTGTCAGTGCATCATCAGTGTAGGAAACAAGAACTAGTCTACATGTCATGGCAGGTTTGGTTGCAGTTATATACTGTATGTTGAGGTATGCTTTGATGGGTGATCAGAGAGATATTTCTGGAAATTGAGAAATGGCTTCTCATATCAAGATGGTATTTGTTGAAATGCTAAATATGTGAAATGGGGTTTTGTATTGTCCTGGAAGCCTTAGTGCTTGAGGGCCAATCATCAGACACAGGTAAAGCAGAAAAAAGTGACTTATAAAAACACAATTATTTCTTAACAACTGTTTTCAACATTGATGATAATAATCATAAATGTTTCTTTTGCAACAAATCAGCAGATTATACTGATTTCTAAAGGATCATGTGACACTGAAGACCGGAGTGATGATGCTTTTGATCACAGGAATAAATACAATTTTAAAATATATTCACATAGAAAAATGCTCTTTTAAATTGTAATGATATCTGACAATTTTCTTTCTCACAACTGTTTTTATTGTATTTTTGATCAAATAAATGCAGCCTTGGTGAGCATAAGAGAAGTCTTTAAAAAGCATTTTAAAACATCTTAATGGCCGCTAAAAAGTTAAGTTTTGCCATCACAAAGAAAAATTACATTTGAAAATGTTACAATAGGTACTAGGGATGTAGCGATTCACTCAACTCACGATTCGATTCACGATTTTGATTTCACGATTCGATTCGATTCACAATTTATTTATTTTGTTTTACAAAATTAGATTTAAGACCAATTATAAATTAAATGTGTCTTATTATTGCTTGGACAAAATGCTGCACATTTCTTTGTGAAATTGAAATATAACACTATAATAATATACTAATATAGCACTTGGATATTACTGCTCTTTTGTTGGTTTTGATTGCTTCTATTGTTCTCATTTGTAAGTCGCTTTGGATAAAAGTCTGCTAAATGACAAAATTTTTATATAATGTAAATGTAAATAAAACTAAATTGAAATTTTAAAACAAGCCCCAAATCAAATAAATAAGTAACACAAATAAAATAAATCTATTCATATAAACAAAATAAGGCTTTGTCTGTGCTCTTTCCATTTAAAATTAGAGGCAACCACTGCATTTTAATCTTGAACCAAACAAAGAGCAGTTTTTAATCTAAATTAGATTGTATAATTTGAAATTTGAAGCAAAAACAGAATGGTTTGACTTCAATTTTATGAAACTATACATAAAAAATATCTGCATGAAACAGCAGACGAACTGAATGAGACGCAGATTCACTCTCTGCCAGCAGGTGGCGCTTAAAGCGTTTCCTTGGTTTCCGCTGTAAACAAAGCAGCGCTGAACTTATGAACTTTAATATGCGTTATACAGAGGCAAGATGAAAAGAAAAAATACCATCTAAACTTTTCTAAAGACAGTAAGTTCCCCTCAGACATGCATTCATATAAACTCCTACACCTAATTGAATCGCGATTTGTTTAGCATCTCAACCGATTTGTATCGTCACATATTTGAATCGATTTTCAACCGGCTCGCGGTTAATCGTTACATCGCTAATAGGTACTGGTTATTTTAAACTGTAGTAGTGTCACAATATTCGTTTTTTTTTTTTTACTGTATTTTTTATCAAATAAATACAGCTTTGATGAGCATAAACTTTTAAAAAGTAGTGTATGTACACGACAAAAAAAAGACAAAGGTGCAGACTGTGTGAATATTCTTATTTCTCTTTTATGTTAAAGCCATTTTTCCTGAGCTAGGAAAAAATATACATAGGGTTATCGTTTATTTGTGAGTAAAGTGAAATTGTTGGTTCCCCCAAAATTAAGTAGACTCGACTGTCTCCAAGAGAGACACGCTGATCAGAATGAGGGTAAAGTATCTGAACACTTTCTGGCCATCAGATGTTAGTAGAGTGTATTCACGGTTAATGTGAACAGCAGACTGAGTGAGTTGCACTGATTCTGCATTGTTGCAGGACTGGCTGAGAGTACGCAGTCGTGGAAGACAAATATGCAGTGTTTAAAAAAAAAAAAAAGTCTGTTGAGTGGAAAAGCTTTGTTCCATGTTTTATGCTGTGTGGTGCATGTGGGGCTTTCTTTGTGCTGTGGAGGAGCAATCTTGTTTGACGTTTGTTCTGGTGCTGTCACTATCCTTATTTTGACATTGCTGTCTTTTGTTAGGGTTCATTGTCAACATTGTGTTTACTCTTATACTCTCTGAGTCATGTAGAAATATGGGCAACTCCAATAACAAAGGCCATTTTGTTTGTGGAAATCGATGTAGTGGAGGTTTTTCTCAGACGGAAAACCGACAGTTGACCAGATGACATCTGGTTTGCACCATGGAGTTAGCTTCTTTTGTATCAAATTATATTGTGTAATTATGTCAATCCACATGCAAACTCTTTCATAAGGTTTTGAGATCCTGTTTCTGTGGTTGGAATAACTGCCTGATCATGTAGTTCACAATCAGGATCTTTTCTCAGCTTCTAGTGTTATTTTATCACATTATAATGAGTGTTAAAGGCTCTTATGTAACTCTTCTGTCTAGCACGCACATCACTTAGCATAGTGATCCTGTCACTGTCTCTCATACCCCTTTTCCACCAAGACAGTTTGAGTGCTGGTTCAGAGCCAGTGTTTGGATGCCGGTGTAGACTCGCAAAGCCTTGAACACCAATAGCAATGCAACGTCCGCCATTGTTAATGGTGTGTTTGTGTTTGGCATTGCCGCGCTAGCGTTGCTGGGAAAGATGAGATGTATTCAGTGACGTAAGACCTGGCTCTGTGGTGGCTCACTAGCCCATGGAAAGACAAACTGGTTCTTAGAAGGCTTGCTAGTCAAACCAACTCTTAACCGGCAATAGCACTAGCTCTGAACTAGCACCCAGTTCATGCTGATGGAAAAGGGGTATCAGATCTGTCCATCTGCCTCTTGTGATTTTCCAACAACCATTAGCTCTGCAGACAAGCACAACGTCCAGCTTCATTCAATAGGTTCTCATTAATAATGATCGGGTCACAATGGCCAGTGCCTGCTGTAATTGATGATGCCATCAGTTCAGATTAGCAGGTCTATTAATTTAGCTCGACCATCATCGACTTATGTTGTTAACAGATAGCTGCAGCTGTTTTGGGTAATGTGGTCATTGCTAGGCTTGCCGCGATAGACGGTGCCGACGAATTGCCGCTATTTGAAAGTGAAAGTAAAATGTGCACGCCGCTTTTACAAGCTATTTAATAGCAAAGGAAAGCGAGGAAAAGAGGGAACGCCCCGCCCCCACGGGGATACCGGTATTATCGGTGTTGTCACGTCGATTAACCGGTGAGAAAATTTCCTCACCGTCACAACCCTAGTCATTGCTCATACTCGAGTTTGGAGATTTGAACAAACATGAAGTATTAGTAAACAATTAGTTTACTGTAGTAATGCTAATAGAGATTTTCTTGCTTGATGATATGTGTGAGCTAATGCATCGTGTATAGCTGTGAAAGTGTTTGTCTGTTTGATTTGACAGGTATGCAGTCATTGCCTTCGGTTGTGCCAGCTGTCCAAAGATTACCTGTGGTCGTGAGGGCTGTGGGACTGAGTTCTGTTACCACTGTAAACAGCTGTGGCACCCAAATCAGACCTGTGACGCCGCCCGACAGCAGAGAGCTCAGAGTCTCCGGCTGAGACCCTTCAGATCATCATCACTCAGCTACAGCCAGGAGAGCGGCGCTGCTGGTGAGCCCACCAAACACACATACACAAACCTTCAAATCCAGTGGATCTGTCAACTAGAAGTGTTCTCACACTAGGGCTTTTGGTGCAGACTTGCCATCAGAGTTTGGTTCATTTTATTTTTGTAATATCGGTTATGTCAGCTGTGGGCCTAACTAAAGGCTAAGATATGATTCAAGTGAATTTTTTGTTTGCTTATGTTTTATAATGTATAAATATCTGAGACATATTGGTTCTATTTGTTAGTAAAAAAGTATCCCATAATTACAAACAATTGTGAGACATTCTAAATGTTCATGCAGTGCATTTTTGTGTTTACAATGGGACAATTGCTGCACAATAGCTTACACACAGCGCAAGCCTTATTTCGTGAGCTGTATGTGAGGCGGCCTTATGTGTGCACGCTTTGAGTGTGCATGAGCAAGAGACCGTGCAAATGGTCTAAACACTGGCAAGACTTAAGAAATGCAAATTATAAACTTTAGTAATGATGCTACACTGCCTCGATTGTGCAAGTGACAATTCGTGTGTCAACTGCAGCGTGCAGCTCGCTTATAATACAGACGATGTGGTGATTTGAAGCCATTTGCGCATTTTGAGGGAATTCACTGATTCACTCATGCTGTTTGTGAAATTACGTCTCACAGAAACTTTTCAAATTACTTTGCAAGTTATTTAATAAAGAAATATGAAAAACTAGTAGTCCCTACAGCTAATATAAGTAAGAAGTACTCAAACAAGTAAACAGTTGGAACAAAAAAAACAAATAACATGCGATAGAACGAATAAATGGTGCTTTAAAGTTTTTCAGGTAAGTCTGTCTAACAGTATTTAGGTTAGAAATACTACAGAAAATTGGATAAAGTAATCAAATGTAACATGCATACAAACATACACTGATTTTTATTAAAGCTACTAAAATTATTTGTTCATGAGGAGTAAGTAATTTTTGCCTTTTCTTTGGTTGTTTGTTACTAAATCAAATGCTCTCTAATCAAATGACACATTGTGGTTTGTACCAAATCTTGAAGCCTTGTATGAAAACGTCCTAGATCTCGTAAATGTCAACAAGCAGTGGTTTTAACTGCTGTGTCTGTGTCTCTCTAAGCCGATGACATAAAGCCGTGTCCCCGCTGTGCGGCCTACATCATCAAGATGAACGATGGGAGCTGTAATCACATGACCTGCGCTGTGTGTGGCTGTGAGTTCTGCTGGCTGTGTATGAAGGAGATCTCTGACCTGCACTACTTGAGGTCAGTGTCCTGAACCCCACTGCAGTGTTCACAATGTAGGGCCAAATTACATAATTCAGACATCTGAGTTTAACGGAATTATTGACACTACGTGAGAACTGATGAAAGTTAAAGTCGTCAGAATTATTTGTTATTGTGCTAAGGTTACATTTCGGTGTTTTATTTCTCTGTTCCTGACACAGTCCTTCAGGATGCACGTTCTGGGGTAAGAAGCCTTGGAGCAGGAAGAAGAAAATCCTGTGGCAGTTGGGCACACTTGTGGGCGCTCCGGTTGGCATTGCACTGATTGCTGGCATTGCCGTACCTGCAATGATCATCGGGATTCCTGTGTATGTGGGCAGAAAGGTGGGTGGCTAATACAAACACTCAGGCTTTGAATGTTGAGAATCATGGGTGAGGTTTTCATTTGTTTGTTTTCAAACCCAATCTTTTGAACTGATCGCAAGGTATGAAATTGGATTCATTTTTCAGACAGTCATATTTGTTAAATCTACACCAATAGTCTATAGTCCAAGAGATTTTTTTAACAACTGAGAATAGCTGTCATTCTGGAAATTTATACATTGAAGCATTTTTTTTTTGGTCCGAAACATGGCTTTCCATTTAGTATTTAAAATGCAGAACTCATTTCAGTAGATGTGTTATCACATACATGTCATGAATAACAAAAAAATAGGACTGCACAATATTGGAAAAAAATATTTTTTGCAATATTTATTTGCAATATGAAAAGATAAAGTAATTTTCACCAGATGACTAGCTCTATTTGGAATGAATTATTAATTCTAGAATGTTTGGGTGATTCTATAGGACAGTGTATCTGCATAGAAAATAAATTTAAATAGCTGAAAAATTAGTTTTTACTCTGAAGACTTTCAAACCATCCTTTTCAATAACATAACCATATCAGTAAGAGTTTTTTTGGGTTTTTTTTATCTTTCCACTTGAGTTTTCATAGGCCACATTTCCACGGTATGCGACCCTTTCAAAAGGGTTCCCTTAATAAAATTCTGATTGTCATTACATTTTTTTTTAAGTAATAAATAATTCCATTATATGTTATACTGTAAAATAAAAACAGTAATTAAAACGGTAATAGAAATGCTATAGTAAACCTGTAAAATTACAATACTAATATTTTAAATCTTGCTTTCTGCATTTTTAGCAATGTTACAGTGTTCACACCAAGCCATGTTGTAATTATATATTTTATTTTGATATATTGTGCAGCTTAAAATCTGATATGACCATTCAAACTGAAACTCATTTTCATCTAGTTTTAATAATGAAGTTTTACTAATATGAATACTATGAATATTTAGTCATATGAATTATATTGCATGTTGTCTTATTTTTTGCCTGCGTGTACAAAGCCCGCATATATTTTAATAATGTTAATGGATGCTAATGATCCTGATAATAGTGCATAATCGTAGTCATCAGTAATCATTAAGTCAAGTCACCTTTATTTATATAGCGCTTTTAACAATACAGATTGTGTCAAAGCAACTGAACAGCATTAGTTAGGAAAATAGTGTGTCAATAATGCAAAATGACAATAGTAAACACTAATTTTTCAGTTAAAGACAGTTCATCATTGAATTCAGTGATGTCAACATCCAGCTCAGTTTAAATAGTATCTTTGCAATCAAGTCAACGGTATCGCTGGAAATGAAGTGTCCCCAACTAAGCAAGCCAGAGGCGACAGCGGCAAGGAACCAAAACTCCATCGGTGACAGAATGGAGAAAAAACCTTGGGAGAAACCAGGCTCAGTCGGGGGGCCAGTTCTCCTCTGACCAGACGAACCAGCAGTACGGAAAAATCAATTTAAGACGTAATAAAACAGACGATGAACACTATTAACAGCAATTATTATATGATGCAATCAAACTTATAGCAAAATGTGGTAGTTCTGTATGTTGTTTCAGGGTTGGCATCATCTGAGGTCCTCTGAGGGGTTGGCATCATCTCTTCTCAGGTGTTCTGGATCCAGACTGAAGCTTGTGTAAATCCTACAGCCTGTGGCAAAAAACAGAGAAACAAATAGAAACATAATTAGCGTAGCTGCTGTTCCAACCAAGCAAAATTGATTTGTTTATAAATAACAATTATAAAGTAAAATATAAAAAAAATGTGTTTATTATAAAGCTATTACAGTACTGCATTATCAACCGTAACTTGGATTGAACTCATTGGCACATGGCCTGGGCTAAATTGCAGAAAAATAGTCATCAGTTAATTTCTTTTAATTTGGCAGCATTTCCTGTGACCGCTTCTTTTGTGAACCAGTTTCTCCAAATGCCTTTGTCATGACTACAAGATAATAAGGGCCTTTGTTTTATCTGACTAGAAGAACACTGCTTATTATAAATGCTTTTAGAAACTGGTGCCAGCATGTTGAAATCAGTTTGACAAGTGCTATTCTTACATCTGTATTAATAGATTTAAAGATTTATATGTCCAGCAAATAACAGTCCTGTAGTATAATTTGTGTACTGCATTAAGGATTTGGTTTTGCGTGAGTTAATATGCAGCCTGTCTCTGAACCAGATTAATCCACTGCAAACTGGGTCACTTGTACAATGATTAGTAACACTTCAGATATGTGCAGTTCAGTCTGAATTTCCTTATGAAGGGATTTCCATAACGGTCTGTTTATCTGACCTGAATCCTAACTGAGCACTGCATTATGAAATATGACAACCTACATGTCTTACCGCACACTTATCAGCCTTGTTTGATCTGCAAGAGACTCTTGTTAGATCATCAAGTGGGAAATTATGCTAGCATTATGAGTAACCAAAGCGTGATTTAATCAAGAATAATGAGCATATGTGTTTACTCACTCTCAGTCTTTGAATCCATCTGCTTCAGATTCATAATCGTTATGAGGGGAAGGACATCTCCAAGCACAAGAGAAACCTTGTCATAGCCGGCGGGGTGACGTTGTCAGTGATCGTGTCTCCGGTGGTTGCTGCTGTCACTGTCGGTAAGCAGACTTCTTTCTTTTTTCTGTCTAATGATTCACTTTATGATTTGTATTTTTTTTTGTACTATTATGAAAGGAATCATTTGTTTGTTCTAAACCCATAAACCTATATTAAATGTCGGCGATTAATTCAGCCCCGACCTCTTAACATACAGACTGCATTTGAAACTCATCAGACATTTTTTGCTGTATAGTTAAAGATTAACCATTTTAAAATATCACATTGATTCATTTAAAAAGTAACCGACTGTGATTTCATTGTAAATATTACTATTTATAGTTGGCTTAACACTGCACAGCCAAAGCCTAGAATTAAGCTTGCCTAAAAATGTAATTTTTCGCAATAAAACTAGTCCAATCGCTTTCGAGGGGGGTTCCCCTGTAAAAATCTGGGGGTAAAATAAACGTTTTTCGGCGGGGATCTTCCAGTAAAATTCGCATTCCAGGGACTAAATATCACGTTATTGGGGTCACTTCAACCCGCGGACATGAACAACAGCCCGCGGCAACAGTGTTAAAGTAACATTAGCCTAAAGGAAAACCGCGGACTTGGCAACACTGGTTATGAACCAACCGCAATAGCGTTTCCTTGGTTACCGCTGTAAACGAAGCAGCGCTTTATACGGAGGAGAAGAAAATGCCATTGCCATCGAAACTTTTCTCAAGACAGTTCCCTTCAGTGATGCATTAATATAACCCCAGAAATGTAATGCATTTTTGTACTTATTTTACTGTTATTTTCAGGATCTACTGGGACAGTGATAAAGATCTACCAGTCGATTGCGATTGACGGGCTGGCGACCACTGCTATAGACTGTTTAATCAAGAACCATAACTAGAATAACTACAGTATAGTAGTGTCCACACCAATGCACAATAACCTGGACATTGTGGAATCAAAGGAATCAAACAAGTAGACGCTGCTGCTAAAGAAGCACTTTCCACAGATTTTGAAAAGGGTTTCATAAAACCCACAGATCTTAAAAGTACTATAGTATCTAACATCCTCAACAAATGGCAAAATGACCGGAATCAGTGTACGAACAAGCTGTATGAAGTTGCATCTTTAGTTTCAGTAATCGCTGGGATCAGATAATACATGCACAATGCTGAAAAGGACATTCCAGAATCACACAACCCTGAATCTGTTTTAGAGTCTACAGGTTTTGAAATTGATCTTTTATACTATTTCAACTTGTTAATAACCATGAAAATAGCCAAGGGAGCTGGCATGGTGTTAAAACACCAACCAACCACCCAATGCACGATAATGATCTGTTCGTAATAAACACAAGCTGCAGTTTTGTCGTCTGCCATCGGTGTGTTTGGCTGTCAGTGTTTTTATCGTTCATCACCTGGAAAAATTGTTCAGAAAATGCTTCCAACAATATCGTCCCTTTTTTGTTATTGTTATAGTGGCCTTCCCTATTCTCATTGAATTAGAATGGTTATTAAAACTTTATAGTTATCGTCCTTGGTGTGAATGGTATTTTCATCTGGAAGTACAAATCTGACTGATAATCTGGTTTAGAGGTTGCAGTTTTGTGTAAGTGTTATATTGTGTCTGTGCAGGTATAGGAGTGCCCATCATGTTGGCGTACGTCTACGGTGTGGTGCCCATCTCTCTGTGCCGCAGTGGTGGTTGCGGCGTGTCTGCGGGGAATGGTAAAGGCGTGCGCATTGAGTTTGATGACGAGAACGACATGAACGTGGGCACCGGAGCCGCTGTGACTGGTGAGTGATCCTCACTGAATGCAAACACACGCCTATTCACAGCACCTTTATAATGCTCAATGTCACACGCTGAAAAGCCAAACAGTGTTTAAAAGCGTTCAGAATCTGTCCTTCTCAGTCTCTTTCTTCTAATTTACAGTCTCTGTCTTGGCTGTCTCTCCCCCAAGAGTTGTCCATCACATTTCACACTTTCTCTCCTCCTCGCTCATGTTTAATGCAAACGTGTGAAGTGTGTTCTAGTTTAAAGCAGAGTGTGCTAAAAAGTGTTAGATTTACTGCTCCCCCCACAGACTTGCATTGAAAGAAGAGACTTTTGAGTTTATCCTTTTCCAGACACAACTCCTGAAACTCAAGGTTCAAGTAGCTTTGTTTCTCAAACACCAAATAATTCCCGTGAAGCTCGTGTAACTCTGGTAACGAGTAGCTTTTGTCCTGATGTACAGTGTGAGCTAGAGGCAAAAGGTTTAGAAACATGTTTGTGCTATATGTAAGAAATCTGGTTTCTCAAATTCTGCCTTTTCCTAAATTAACGTGTTTTCTGTTGTCATTTTTCTGGATTCTGTTTCAATGTTTTAAATTTGAATAATCAAAAAGGATGTGTAATCAGTTGAGTTCATTAAAACTTCAAAAATGCTTATAATCAAAAAGATGCATAAACCTTTAACAGTCTTGTAAAATGTAATGAAATGGAATTTTGACAAACAAAATGATGAGGTTTACGTTTAAATTAAAACATGGGTGAAAAATTGTGATATTGTGGCTCTGAGAGCAGCTCTGGAGATGAAGTTCATGTTCACGTCCTCATACAGTGAGACATATAGTAGATGTTGAAAACACAGTGAGCGTCACGCATGCTTGAGTCTGAGTAGGAGATGAAACTGCCATTCATTTACACAGAAACTTGCAAACTTTATATTTAAAGTCTTTGTGCGCTTTAATATTTGCACACACTAATCCATACTGTAACTTCATTAACTGTACAGCTGTACTTTTGATTGATTTAAATTGGCATTCTGCCTTATACAGTAAATTCCATTTTTATGACTGCAATTGTCTGCATTTTTTGCCTCACAGAAATCATAGGGCTCTAATCAGGCTTGTAGTGCAAATCTCAAATACCAAACACTGGAACTGTACTAGGGATTGTTTATTTATTTTTTATTTTTTTCCAGAATGCTTCACACTTTTATGAACTGCTGTAATGACCCCTTTCTATCCATTCTCTTCTATCAGACACCACTTCGGTAGCAGAGACCAGGCATAACCCCAGCATCGGTGAGGGCAGTGTGGGGGGTCTGACGGGCAGCCTGAGTGCCAGCGGGAGCCACATGGAGCGTATTGGAGCAATGAGAGACAACCTGAGCGAGAACGCCAGCACTATGGCCCTCGCCGGGGCCAGCATCACTGGCAGCTTGTCAGGAAGTGCCATGGTCAACTGCTTTAACAGGTCAGTGACACAGTGTCTACATGTTACGTGCGCATTCGTTGACCAAAAATGGTCTTTAAGGGACATGTATTTTGAAATCTAAGTGTGATGTACAATGTGGGCATACTCTAAAGTTCAAAATGCAAAACACCACCACAATCCAAAAAGACTGATGAACATTTCAATTTGAACAAACGGCTGTTAATATGTCTGTTCAGACTGACAGGAACATTCGCACGCTGTCCAGGCCAGTGTTTCTGGAGCCCCCAACACTGCACATGTCGAGCGTCTCTCATACATCCATTTCAGGTCTTGTACTCTACTAATGAGCTGAAGACCTGAATCAGGTGTGTTTGATTAAGGAGACATGCAAAAAGTAAAAGGAACAGGGCTGAGAAACACTGGTCATCGCAACGGTTTTAATGTCTTTTCCATTGCACTGCAAGAAAACTAGGCAGCCAATAAGATTCATGCTTCTGGTCTCATGCCCAGAACCTCTGCTGTTATATAAAACCACGATTGGTGGCACTCATGAACACAGTATATAGCCAGGCAACAGTGAATAGCAGAGGAAGATGGAAGATCCTTCACATGGACAGACCGTCACACACATTTTAATACAGTTTATGCACACAAGAAGATCTAACAGCTGGATTTGCAGAAGTTTGTGAGATTTGTCACATTTTCCCGCGGTTTCACAGACAAGGCTTAAGCCTAGTCCCAGACTAAAATACATGTCTGGGCTGTTTAAACTGAAAGAAACGTGCACTGACATATCTTTAAATATGTAAATGTCATTATTTTTCTCAAGATGCACACCAGTGAGGTTTTTTTCTAAGGTACATTTATAAAAGCCACATAAATGTCCTAATTGAACTATGGCTTAATCTAAGCCCTGTCTGTGAAACCAGGCCTAAATGTTTATTAGATATTCAAAGACTTGTTTAAAATACGCATTTGCTAAATGCTGACAGTATATGAATAAAGGGTCATACTTTAGTTTGGGGACCAATTCTCATTATTAACTAGATATTAACTCTGACTTTTGCCTCGAATTTGCTGCTTATTAATAGTAAGGTAGTTGTTAAGTTTAGTATTGGAGTTGATTTAAGGGATCTAAAATATGGTCATGCAGAATAAGGCATTAATATGTGCTTTATAAGTACTAATAAACAGCCAATATTCTAGTAATATGCATGCTAATAAGCAGCTAGCTAATAGTGAGAATTGGTCGTTAAAATAAAGTGTTACTGAATAAATTATTACAGTTATTAGGCAGCTTCTAACATGGCAAAACAGGAAAACATCCTGGCTGGTAATTAAAAAAATTAAAATAAATTTCACCCTTTGTGATTATATTGGTCAACCACTAGTTACTTGATAAACACCACAGTGAATACAAAAATCTCAACAGCTGTTTGAAAACATGTAAATGCGGTTTGACTTCCTTTGCCGTCTGCCGTTTTCACACATTGGTCTGAACAGAGACAAATTGCATGTGAAAACCTTTGGATCAGTTAACAGGCTTTAAATGTGCTGTTTGTGTCTCTCAGGTTGGAGGTTCAAGCTGATGTTCAAAAGGAGCGTTGCAGTCTGAGCGGGGAGTCTGGCACCGTCAGTCTGGGGACAATCAGTGACAACGCTAGTACCAAAGCAATGGCTGGATCCATTCTCAACGCCTACCTGCCTCTGGACAGGTCTGTATTCATTAGGGTTGGGTACCGTTCACATTTTAACCGGTACGGTTTTTTGGCAAACAAACTGAGATTTACTGTTGAAATTAATACATGGAAGAAAAATTGTGTGAATATTCCTTTAAAACATTTTTTAATAGGCTGATAATTGTAGTATTTTTTTCTACAATTAAGTGGCAGACAGTGGCTACTTTTGATTTATTCGTCCAAAAATGACGAATTCCGTGGCATGCCGCGCTATAGAATAAATTACGTTTTTATGAATGGACTCCGCGATCCCATCCGTGTTTTCGCAGAAACCATATGGCCCTAGAAATGTAAGCACACTTCAGAACATTTCGGCTTGCCCTGTGTGTTGTTTGAACGAGTTGCAAGGGTGACCTTACGTCACAGGGTCTCTCTTTCTCTCCCTGTAGCGTATGCACCCAGATGCGTTCTCAGGTACCGAAATTTAGCACCGACTGATTTAACATGAATCGGTACTCTGTAGTACCAACGCAATTCGGTCGGTACCCAACCCTAGTATTCATACACCCAAAACAATGTGAGGTGGCTCAGTGATGGAGGTTGTGGAAGTCGAGCTGTCATTAACAGCAGACGTTGTTGTGCAGCAGGGATGGGAACAGTATGGAGGTGCAGGTGGATGTGGAGTCCAAGCGAGGGAAGCTCAGGCACCACAGCGGCAGCAGCAGTATGGACGACGGCAGCAGCGGAGGACACGGGGCCGACGTTTGCCCCTCCGGCTGTCCCCACGAGGGCAAATGTGTTACCTCTCGCTGGGCCAAGGAGCCGTCCTCCACCTCCTCTTCCTCTGGCAAGAAGAGCAAAGGCAAGCTGCGCAAAAAGAGCGGCGGAACCAAGATCAACGAGACGTGTGAAGACATGGACGCCCAGCTGCTAGAGCGCCGCAGCACCAACTCCAGCGAGTTAGACTCGCCCTCTCTGAGCGGCAGCCTGCCGTCTGTGGCCGACTCACACTCCAGCCACTTCTCAGAGTTCAGCTGCTCTGACCTGGACGCCTGCAGACCGCCCTGCTACGAGTCTCACGTCCGACATCCCAACACGGGCGGAGCGGTCAGCCCGCTTCCAGAGGTCGAGAATGACCGGCTGGAGAACTGTCCCACGTCTGGGACCCTCCCACAAGCTGCGGCCGCCCCTCTGACCCCTGACGGGCCGGCAGAGCGCCCGCTATGCTACATTGCAGAGGAGAATGTGAGTTTAATATGTGGGGCTGACGCGGGCCAGAGCTCTCCTAAAGAACGCAATAACAACCTTCCTCAGCCGACTAGTCCTGTGCGTAACGCCTGCATTCAAACAGAGATATAACCAGATGGGTTGAGTTGACCCACATGCTAGCTTTCACAGCTAACCTCAACACCAACTTTATTACCAAGGATTGCACACTGAATTGAAGATTTTAAAGCTTGTTTCATGGAGGTTTAATGTCTTGGTCGGTCGATTATTCGAATGTTAGAGAAGGAACGCCACTATTTACACTGGTCAAGGGCAGGATGCGCCTTCAGAAAGCTCGCCGTGACCAAAGGCTACCGTTTGACCGACAGTCGGTCAGTGCAGTACAGTTAGACCGAAGCTCGGATAAGATTCAGAAAGGCAACAGATGAATGTAAGGCGGGAAGTGATGCACAGATACTGATGGTGATGTAGCTGTCAATCACACATGCCTCAGTGTTCAGGGTCGCTGCGATCAAGAGCCTGAGGAACGAGTGTGTGGATGAAACGTGTCCAGCTCATTTTCAGCCCAAAATTAGAAGGAACGAAGAGAAATATCATTCCTTGCAGACTGGAAATGAAGCCTCTGTTTAGGACTAGTTTGATTTGTGACAAATTCGTGTAAATTAAAGGGATGGTTCACCCAAAAATGAACATTCTGTCATAATTTACCCTCATGCCGTTTCAAACCTGAACATAAAAAGATATTTTGAAGAATGTTGGTAACCAAACAGTTTTGGTTCCCAGTGACTTTCATCATATTGTCAAAAAATACAATTGAAGTCAGTGGGAACCAAAACTGTTTGGTTACCAGCATTCTTCAAAATATATTTTATGAACTCGTATAGGTTTGGAATAACATGAGGGTGCGTAAATGACTGAATTTTCATTTTTGGGTGAATTATCCCTTTAAGCACATTTTCCCCCCTTTCTCTTTATTGTAATATATAAGATATGATATATCAGTTTTTTTCCCCTTTGTAATTCCTTATTAGATTCTTAATACTATAAAACAGTATTTTATTTCTGTATTACTATAAATAAATCTGGCAGTGCAACAAATGCTACTGTGATTTAAATGTAAATAATTTTTGCGTTACAAAAATAAGTGGATTTTTTTCCCCCCATTACAGTTATGGGAATTAGGAGGGAAAATGTGCTCAATTTTCATGAAAATGTCTCAAATCTTATTGTTTCTAAAAAAATAGGCTTGATTTTCTTTAAATATAATTTACTTGTGATTTTGGGCTGAAATATGACGTGTTTTTGACTGATTCCATGTGACTGACCTGTGTATTCAGACACCTTCACTACACATATACACACATATACTCTCAGTTAGCCAGCATATAGCTTTAGTTGAGGAATCTGCAACTATTCAAAGGCAACGAGGAAGTCTGGAGGGATCCGATGCCCTTATCGAGATGTTCAAGATGAGCCTATGAGGGACCAGGCAGTAGTAGATTTCCCTTTCACAGCAGTGATTCTTGTACATGGTTGTGCTTTTAATTTCTTGGGCTTCTTTTAATTTCTCTCGTTTAGCGTCACTGCTTATTTTCCATTTTTGGGAAAACTAGATGTGTTCAAGGCCTGTGTGGGTACTGCTTCAGTGAAGAGCCACGTGTCGCGCCCCCTGCTGGTAGCACGGGGACCTTGACCAAACCCGTCTATGGGACGAAGCGAGTCTGGCATGGTTTAAAAAAAAAAAAGTAATCCTTGCAAAGCCAAGTCCACTGATAATTCTCAATGGCTATTATGGATGCAGTGGGTTTATATTTATGAATCAGAAAGATTTGCATCCTGTTTAAAAAAAAATTTTAAATAAGTCAAACTACTTTCATTGTAAAGGCTATGATGGTAATCACATTCAGGTTGTTTCAACCAATTAAGTGATTTTTTTTTTTTTCCGTTTATGTATATGTATCGACTCATGGTGCCTTTTGGATCATAGAAAAATGTTTGTTTTTCCGGTTTGTGTCTTATGAATTCAGATGTATTGGATGAGGCTGCATTGAATGTTAGCGAGGTGGCGTAGCGTCCCTGTGCTAAACAGTCTGGGACTACGCATCCGACCGCCTACCAAAGACAGCACTCAGGCTCAGTGACGACGACTCCTGCACACTTCAACACTCAGTTCACAGACGCCTCCACGGACTCGTGTGATTGCACTGCTCATCTCTGTTGGTCTTTCTCGCTGCCGTTCTGGTGCTGCTCCGTAATCTTTCGGGACTGATCCAATGCCACAAGCTGCTTTGTTTTTTGTTTTGTTCCTTCTATTTCTTTAGTGCTCTTTTCTTATGTTTTGAGCCTGCCCATATCTGTATGAATATTACATCAGAGGCTAGGGCCGATTGATTTCTAACTTGTTCAAAACAGCTTGATACTTGTATATTTGCTTTATAATATGCGTGTAAATGCATATCTAAATGAAAATAAAAACATGAATACAGATGTGTGGTCTCTGTGTGTTTGTAGTCAGTTGGAAAAAAAATGTCACCTAGTAATTTATAAAGCCATTTATTTAGCTGATGCAAATTTATTTCTCTGAAACATATTTCTTTTGCTGACATCCCAAAGAAAAACTACATCTAATGTCAGTGTACATTCATACCTTGTGAGATCTTGTTTTATCTATGCATATTGAGACAACGGTTGGGCTGAAGGCTGGAAGATGTCAAAAAATAATAATTACACTACATGAGCTACATGTATGCATATATTACACAGTACAATGGAACGGCTATTAAAAATATATTAAATCCTGAGAAATTAGATATTTAAATGTAGCAAATTAAATTGTCCTATACAATTTTGTCTGAGAGTGTTAAATCACTCCATATGTGAGCCACAGCTTCTTTTAAAAGGCACATTCTCTCATACACACGACAACCGTCCCATCATAAGCCGAGAATCCTGTTTGTTACACGCTTCCCAGCCGTGCCATGCTCACACGTGCCTACTGAAGCCAGTTACAGAGTATGAACCGTTGCATGCTTTGCATTGTCAGCATTGCATCAGACAATATTCCTTGAAGAAGGTGAGATGAGTGTTTGCTGGAAGGGAACCTTTAGTTGCGGTGCATGACAGTCTAAAGAAGAATGGACCCTCGTAGCAGGACTGTGGGACCCGTGAGCTGGAATCCTCAGGCTCGCTTCATCCACTGTGTCTGGCTTTAATGAAGGAGGGTCTGTTCTTCCTGTAGCTCTCTGTTCATTTCCTCATTTATTGCCTCGATGTCACCCTGCAGAGAGGAAACAGGCATTGTCAGCATCATGTATGTCATATTGAAGCCAGTTGTTACCAGCCAGTGCTAGATTTGGTGAGTATTTTGAACCTTGAGGAAAAAAAAGGTAAAAATTGGAACATGTAAAAAAAATTCTGTCTAAAAAGTCCAATTTTGCGAGACATAAACTTGAATTTGAGATTAAAAAAAAAAAAACAAGTAGAATTGTGGGATATTACCTGAGAATTCTGAGAAAAAAAAAATTGAACTTGTAAGAAATAAATTCAGAATTCTGGGGGAAAAGTCAGAATATAATATAATGCTAAGTTCATGTCATTTTCACTTTAAAAGTCTTTTTTTTCCGCCAGGATTTTTGGCTCATTTTTTCACATCATCAAGAATGAAAAGTGAATCTTTAAAGTGAATGTTACTCCACAGCTGTAGAGTTGAGAAATAATAAAGGCTTTAAAATATTATAAGTGTTTTAAAAATGTGTTCATGACTATGAAGGCCAGTTATTGATAATCAAGAATACCATTATGATGTCATTTATGAGATAGCTAGCTAGCTAGCTAACGTTAGCCTAAACAGTTACGATAGTGTGTAGTTGTCAGCATTTAAATGTACAATTAGGTGTCTGGCTACTCTCCTGGGATTACCAGGCTCAGCATATAAAATTATAAATAATGTTAAATAACATGAAACTGTATGCAAATGCCGCTATCATTATTTACAGTGTTGCAATTATTTTGTTTCTCAGTTTCTGAACAGAACGAGGCAGGAGAGGCTTCTGTGAGGGTCTCTGAGACACACCACACCACACCACACTTCAAATGAGCTTCACCGGAAGTTAACGAGCTGGCTTATCTTAATGCGGAAGTTCTAAAGAACTCTGTGCATATGGTCAATTATTAAAACTTTATAGCTATAGTTAACGTCTTTGCTGTAAATGGGCCTAAAGGCTAAATAAGATACACATATTTTGCAGAAAATATGAGTGCTGCTGTCTTCCTGTGCAAAACTCCCCACCATGACGATAGACTGTTGCGGGTGGTTGCCAATACGTTGCCCATGTGTTCTGAGCAGTTTGTGTCTATGCTAAATCTATTTTGATCTCCGGTTATGAATCACAATCCTCTTCCAGTGTGAGTCTTCGGAACTTTTTATGTTGTGAGAAACATCAAAATTCAAGAACATTTAAAAAAGACTGCTCTGATGGATGTATCATTCATATCTGTTGCATAAACATGTGGTTATGGGCCAAAGTTTAGTACTTAAGGATCAGGGATTTGTTCATTTATGAGCAATAGTAATAGAGACCCTTGCCTCAGTAAACACCACTAATCAGCTAAATCTAAGATTAAATTTCACTGAGGTACAAAGGCTGATTACAGTGGCTGTTAGATAATTAGTGTTTTTTTAGGTGTTTTACGGTTGCTATAACACGCTTTCTGGAATATTTGATTATGAATAAAACAGCTCTGGTCACAGTCTGCTCATTTGTGGTGCGGATTTTTCAGTGACACTTTCTGCAGGTCTCATCCATAGACTGTAAAAAAAAATGGACGAAGCGTCTCCTATTCCTTCCACTATAGAAAAGTGAAGCCAAAGCATCTCAGTATGGCAGCTGCCATCTTGAGTAAATGACGTCATTTGGAGCCAGAGTCTGCGCAGTAGAGATTCGTTTGGCGGCCGAGTCTGCGCAGTAGAGATTCGTTTGGCGGCCGAGTCTGCGCAGTAGAGATTCGTTTGGCGGCCGAGTCTGCGCAGTAGAGATTCGTTTGGCGGCCGAGTCTGCGCAGTAGAGATTCGTTTGGCGGCCGAGTCTGCGCAGTAGAGATTCGTTTGGCGGCCGAGTCTGCGCAGTAGAGATTCGTTTGGCGGCCGAGTCTGCGCAGTAGAGATTCGTTTGGCGGCCGAGTCTGCGCAGTAGAGATTCGTTTGGCGGCCGAGTCTGCGCAGTAGAGATTCGTTTGGCGGCCGAGTCTGCGCAGTAGAGATTCGTTTGGCGGCCGAGTCTGCGCAGTAGAGATTCGTTTGGCGGCCGAGTCTGCGCAGTAGAGATTCGTTTGGCGGCCGAGTCTGCGCAGTAGAGATTCATTTGGAGCCAGAGTCTGCGCAGTAGAGATTAGTTTGGAGGCAGAGTCTGCGCAGTAGAGATTCGTTTGGAGGCTGAGTCTGCGCAGTAGAGATGTAGAGATTCATTTGGAGCCAGAGTCTGTGCAGTAGATATTCGTTTGGAGCCCGAGTCTGCGCAGTAGAGATTTGTTTGGAGGCCGA